GATGCATGATTGACAGGTGTTTATTGCACTACAAGTTATACAAGGGTCTGGACAATCAGTACATGTTGAGTTATCCAAATAAAAGTTAGAGACACAGGATTGACAGTTATTGGAAAGACCAACACATGATGTACAAGCAGAATTACAAGCCATACATTCTTTTTAACCACTATCATAATATTAACCTGTCTCACAAGTACAATTTGAGCAAGATAGTGTTTGATAGAAATGATAAATTACTTGCACATTTATTGAATTCATCGACCAAATATTGACCTTCGCAGCTCAAACAGTAGCCAGTTGTATCAGCACAAGTAACACAATGCGTGGCACATTCAGTACAAGTTTCTCCATTTAAGTAATATCCAATATTGCACGAAGTACATTTTATAGAGGTATCAATGCAAGTCTTACAGGTCATAGAACATTAGTCACAAGCATCACCAAAGTAGCCAGAAGCACAAGAATCGCATTTTACAGAGCCATTTAAGAATTAACAAGTGGATTGGCATTATTGAGGACAAACTAAGAAAAATATTAATAAAAGAAATTACTTTTGCAAGTTGTACCCTCAAGATAATATGATTCGTTGCAAGTTGAACATTGTGAAGATAATGATCCAGAGCATGCAGTACACCCTTAAGCGCATAATTAGCATTGCGCTCCATCAAAGTAATGTCCATTGACACAAGTTTCGCATGTTGAAGCATTTAAACAATTTAGGCACGGTGAGTTACAAGCATGACACTTGTTGACTCCAAGTAGTAACCATAACACACTTGAACAATTTGTATTTCCAGATACCGAGCATTGTGTGCAGGGAGATTGACAAGCTTCACAAGTCTTACTTGAATCGATGTAATAATATCCAACAAGACAGGTTGAGCAAACATTTTCGGATTCGCAAGTGTCACAGTGGTTTATGCATTATGAGCAGGAATTATTATTCAAGAAGTATTTGGATAAGCAGGATAAACAATTGGTGGCTGAAGTTTCACAGGTGGCACAAAGGCTGTTGCAATCAGAGCAACCATTTCCTGATATGAATGATCCAGGAGAACATTATTTACAAGTACCATCCAAATAATAATTTGATTGGCAAGAAGTACATTCAGAAGCACTGTTGCACTTAGTACATCCAGTTGGACAAGTTTAGCATGAAGTTCCGTCAATGTAGTAGCCATCAGTGCAAGATGAGCATGTAGTTTCAGATGTGCAAGTGGTGCATTTATCATTGCATTTAGTACAAGTGGAATTATTAAGCCAATATCCAGGAATACATATAGTACATTAACTAGAGCTTTCGCACTCCACACATTGACTTGCACAAGGTAAACATTGATTGCCTTCAAGGTATCTTCATGAATTGCATGTTGTACAATTTGATACACTGTTCAAACATGATTTACAAGTAGTAGAGCAATCATAACAATGGCCAGAAGAGTAGTATTAAGTACTTGTGCATGCCTCACATTATCCATTGACTATCTGATAGCCAGAATCACATGAGTTACATTGAGTTCCTGATTCGCAATTATTACAATGGTTTGAACAGTCAACGCAGGTGGTATCATTTAAATAAAAGCCAATTTTGCATAGTGAACAATTGATTGAAGAGCTTTTTCATTTTGTGCAAGAAGAATTGCATTGGGTGCAAGTCGAACCATCAAGATAATTTCCATCTGCACATTGAGAGCAACTTTCTGCATTCGAACAGGCCACACATGGAGATTAGCATAATTTACAAGTTGTGTCCTCTAAATAATAACCAACGATGCATGATTGACAGGTGTTTATTGCACTACAAGTTATACAAGGGTCTGGACAATCAGTACATGTTGAGTTATCCAAATAAAAGTTAGAGACACAGGATTGACAGTTATTGGAAAGACCAACACATGATGTACAAGCAGAATTACAAGCCATACATTCTTTTTAACCACTATCATAATATTAACCTGTCTCACAAGTACAATTTGAGCAAGCTAGTGTTTGATAGAAATGATAAATTACTTGCACATTTATTGAATTCATCGACCAAATATTGACCTTCGCAGCTCAAACAGTAGCCAGTTGTATCAGCACAAGTAACACAATGCGTGGCACATTCAGTACAAGTTTCTCCATTTAAGTAATATCCAATATTGCACGAAGTACATTTTATAGAGGTATCAATGCAAGTCTTACAGGTCATAGAACATTAGTCACAAGCATCACCAAAGTAGCCAGAAGCACAAGAATCGCATTTTACAGAGCCATTTAAGAATTAACAAGTGGATTGGCATTATTGAGGACAAACTAAGAAAAATATTAATAAAAGAAATTACTTTTCGCAGTTGTACCCTCA